CAAAACCTCCAAAATCGCTCAAAAACTGATCCAAGGAGATAAAAAAATGGGGATCATAATGTTTGCTTTTCCGCTCTCCTTCCCCCTTAGGGTTTACCATCACAGCGCCGTTCTCCCTCTCATTTCACCCTCTCCCTCCAATTCCTCCCGCCACCTTCAGTTGGTTCTTTGAGAGGGACCGCTCTGCTTTTTTCCGACTTCGGCGCTTTCTCCACCATTAAAGGTACTACATCCTTTGTTCTCCGATATGCTTTTTTTTTGCAAATTATTGGGAAATTATCATATGTAATAGATTCATAGATCTCTGTCTTATTTTTCTAGGGAATTCTTGATGGATTTATGTTTATCATTAATCCATAAGATTGATTTTTTGATGTATTATTGAATAAGTTTGTTTGTGAAGAGTATTCTTGATATTTCATTAGAAATGTGGGATTTTTATGACTTTATACGTGAGATTTTGAGGAAATTTTAGTAAATAATATTTGTAGAATATGCAAATCAGTGGCAACATCCATTTCATCGAGTAGCCTTTGGAACTGATCAAGCTCGCTGAACTTGTATTTTGCTCGCATAATCACAATATAAGATTGCATGTTAACCGCTTGATGAAATTCTTTTTGGAACGGATGTGTTTCTTGGGTTTGGGATTGTTGCATATGTTTGATTTGTGTGTCTGTGTATATAGCTTCTACAAATTCCTTTTGTTTGGCTGCTAACTTTACATCATTATTAACTAAAACAAACTTTTAAAAAGATCTGCTTGATGAATGTGCAATGATCACTTTCACAATTTTTCGGTTTTCAGTTATGCTTCAGGCAACCTTTTACACAACGCAAGCACTAAACGATGTTGAAATTAACCAACGGGCGCTAAATATAGTATTTCAGTGGCAAAGCAGCATTTTTCAGATATTTTTAATTTGTATGCCATGTTGCTTTCAGTTAAGTAAGAGTATATGGAGGAGATACACAATTCACACACCATCAAAATATACAAATCCTAGCCAATCTGGGACTATATGTATAAACTTTGATATTTGGAATATAAATTGATCAAGATTGGATCAGTATCCGTGTACTAATGTCAACATGAATCCAAGTTACCATTATGCATGAACTGAGCAGTGTTAATTGATGTCTAGTTACAAAAGCCACTAACTGGGGTTGTGTTCACATGGTTTCTGTGCAGGCTAAGGAAACATTCACACAAGTGTTGTTTTTGTGCACAAGATGCATATGTGCTTGTTGCACAAAACAAATATTGAATCATGTGATGTGCACAAATATTCACGGTAACTTTTAGAAATTTAATATCTTACATAATATGCTTATTTTATATCAACTTAGAATTTCATTTTAACTTGATCCTCATTAGAACCTCATTATAACAAAAATATATACTTTATTATGATATTGGTTATATGATGTTGTACTTAATTTGGTAAATATTTTTCATAATAGTCTTTGATCATTTGCCTCTAAATTAATGTTAGTATTTGCTTTAATATAATGCTTCTATTTTAGATGGATGGTGATATTGACGAAGAGACTGTAATTAATATGTGTTCCGGTGCTACACTATCTATTTTAGTTATGATTATGACATTCATGAGAAGAATGCTAAGTAGACGTAAATCTATACGTGCAGGTCCTAGTGAAGAGAAAATAAAGCAATATCAAAATAGAAAACATCACATGGATCGGATATATAATGAATTTAGTGATAGCTATGTCAACTACATTAGAATGCGCAGTGGTGCTTTTATGAAGCTTGCAGAGATTATGAGGAAGAATGATTTATTACGAGACTCAAGACATGTTATAGTGGAGGAGCAGCTTGCTATGACTTTAAATATTTTGGGGCATAAAACTAAAACTAGAACTATTAGGTCACATTTTTTTTTAGATCTGGTGAGACTGTAAGTAGATATTTCAACAAGGTGTTTTGTTCCTTTTTGTTTGTATGTGGACTTGATATATGCTTAAACTATGCAGGATAGGAGTATCAATAGTTCTAAGCTTTGGGTATACATCAACAAGCCCATGAAACATTATAAAGACCTTGCAACTATTATTGAAGATGATTGTTGCTAGAGGAGATTATGCTGATGTGTCGGAAAAATTTGGCGGTAGTGCACATTTTAACATTGGTGATGATGATAATATTGGTGATGATGATGATGATAATATTAGCTATGTCTCTTTAGATGAAGATGACATACCACCGCCAAAGGTCCCAACGATGGCCTCAAACTCCAGTCCAACTTCTAGTGTGAATAAAGGTAAAAATGATGTGTCAACGATGCGTAAGGGACAGGGTGGAGGGCTAGTGAGGACACAGTGTTTTTGCGTGTGATACTAAATGAGATAAAATAATTCACATCATCTATGTGCATTGTTACTATGCATTAGACTGAGAAATTAGCAAAAGCTATATTTGCACATGATGATGAATTTGACATAGAAATTCTTGATAAGTTTTATCAAGAATTGCATGAGAATGAATCACAAGCTAGACTATTTATGGGGAGACCAACTATTATGCAAAAGAAGGTGTTCACTAAGTTCATGAAAAGTCAACCTATTGGTTAGTGTGGTGGAAGGTTGGATATTGGATGCTTTTGGGATATTTTTGCAAAACTAACTGATTACACAAATGCTAGTATTGTTCATTTTTGTATATAAATGAGCTAGATGATTGCTCATCCTTTTGGCTACTAACTATGTTATATGTATTAAACTTACTTTTGTACAAAACTAATGCTACTATCTCTATCTTTATGCATCTCAATCATGATTTTACATCCTTAGTAATTAGTTTTTAGACTATGGTAGATACAGTTTACATGTTTATCCTACATATTTCTAGTGTGATTGCTTAAGTGTACTTGTTTTACAGGTTTATAAGTTAGATAAGGTGAATGATTTCACCTTGACGGACTAAGATTATTCTACATATTTCTAGTGTGATGGTATGAAAGTTAATATGGTATGGGTATCAGTCCTTTTCTTGAATATATGAGGTAGATTTTTTATGCTATGATGATGGTCTATTGTTAAAATATGCAACCAGAGTTTATAGCGGTAATCTATTGGCGAGCAAATCCATGATGACAATGCTTATTTTGTAGGGTCATTATGGTAATTGCAGACAACATTGCTACCATAAATTTCATGGCAAGGCAGACAATGAAGAAAATGGCCTTATATAAGTATATATTTTTAATCTTGGATACTGTTGGTTTCAGTCTTGGATAGTCTCAGTCTTTGTTGATTTCAGTCTTGGTTTCAGTGTTGGTCTTAGACATGATTCTAGTCTTGTTTTCAGTTTTACTATAATGTTTTGAAGAATGATTTCAGTTTTATATGTTTTCCAGTCTTGGTTTTAGCTTTAACACAATGTTTTGAAGACTGGTTTCAATCTTACTCATAAATTTGATATGGAGGCTTCGTAGCTGTAGTTTTCCATTTCTATTTTTTGATTTCCTAAACATCGATAGTTGTGTGCTTGGCTCTGAATCTGTATTCAGTTTATTGCATGTTGCTAAGCTCTGTTGTATTCTTTCATATGCTGGAAGTTGTTGTAGACGATCAAAATATATTTTCACTAAGGATCCAAGA